GTTATAACATCTGCACTATAGATGCTGTATTTGTCTCTCCATGCTGTGATCCTGTAGCGCTTACACTCTTAATTTTTTTCCAGGTTCCGCAGCAGGAAAATGAATTTGATTGTGGCCTCTTTGTTCTGTACTATATGCAGCGGTTCATCGAGGAGGCACCTGAAAGGCTTCACAAGAAAGACCTTTCTATGGTGAGCCACTATCTGTTAGTGTGTTGACCATTCTATGTTCGGTGTGTTTGACTGCTTTCAGAACACTGAACTGCACGCGGATATTCCTTGCTCATTTTTTCTCTAATTTTTTCTGTTAGTTTGGCAAAACATGGTTTCAACCTGAAGAGGCTTCTGCATTGCGAAAGAAAATGCAGATTCTGCTTCATCAGTTGTTTGAGGAAGCGAATCCCAGTAACTATAGTACACCGGAGCAGACAGCGGGTCAGTCGATTTTGGAAGCCAAACCTGCAAACAATGTAACGGAGCCGACAATGTTGGAACACCCTTTGGAAGTCAGTTCAGCTGAGGTGACACCAACGTTGGAACACCCGCTGGAAGTCGGTTCTGCTGAGATGACACCAATGTCTGAACAACCTTTGGAAGTCAGTTCGGCTGAGATGACAGCAACGCAAGAACCTCCTTTGGTGGGCAGTTCCGGTGAGATGGCACCAGCGCAAGAACATCCTTTGGTGGGCAGTTTGGCTGAGATGGAACCAACGCAAGAACACTCTTTGGTGGGCAGTTCGGCTGAGATGGAACCAAAGCAAGAACACCCTTTTGTGGGCAGTTCAGCTGAGATGGAACTAACGCAAGAACATCCGTTGGTGGGCAGTTCGGCCGAGATGGAACCAACACAAGAACATCCTATGGTGGGCAGTTCGGTCGAGATTACGTCGCAGAAACCTTTGGAGGGCACTTCTACCCGACCACCTAGTTTTGAGCACCCTTTGGAATGCAGCTGATTGATGTTACCACCTCTGGAGTGACTTACGTTACCCGTAGAAACCGAAACCGGCTCGGAACTGTATTATAGATGGGGAAGTGTTGTAGCCTGCATCTGTAGGCAACTTTGAGGGAGGGGTGGTGTTGCATGACTGAACGTTGCAGTTAATGTATCCACGGGAACTTCCGTGTATATAAAATATCAGTAGGAGAACTGGTGGGTGTATGAGTCGCTCAGGGTGGACTTCATCTGTTCTTTAGTTTTTTTTTTACCAGCAAGCCTGGGGCTCTTTATTCCTCATCAAATATCGTTGCATCGTTTATAAGCGCCTGCATAAGAAATGTAGGGGGTTCATCGACCCACGCACAAAAATCTGAATAAAAACAAAAATGATCTAGCTATCTCATGTGCTGCTACATTTGCTTCCCTAGGGCATAACTCATACAAAACATCGTCAAAGGCACTTGCATGCAGTCATGGAAAATTGCTGAATTTGCAGTCGTAGAAAACCCTTCTGAGATAAGCGCCTGCATTTTCCAACACTTTTTTCATGAATGCAAATGACACTAACATATAGGTGATGATTTTTTAAACATTTTGGTATCTTATTTGCATTTTTCTGATTTAGTATGAATTAGTTATGAAGTTTTCAAACTGACGGTCAAATGGTCAAAGGGCAAAATCATAAGAGGAGCAAAGTGACTTGGACAGGACCGGTGACTTTTGGGAATTAGGGGTAAAACAGATGAGTGGGACACAACTAGGGGCATAAATCTAACTATCCCTATAATTAAGCGATAAAGCACTGATTGACATCACAGATCAGCTGGACCTCCTCTCCATGTGTTGCTTGCCTTCTCTCCCATGAAATATACCAAGCGGTATTTAAAACTAGCTCTCGCATGCAAACTTCTTGGCACAAGGGTGTTGGATGGTCATTTTTTAAAAGCTCCTCCAACACAATAGCACCAGATTTGTCGGCACACACAACCACATCTACCTCTTCTTTTACTCCTAATTCCTTCCAAATTTGCCTTGCTCTAGTACAAGTAAAAAACATACGCTTCAAATCTTCATATCCTAGTGGACACAAAGACTATTGACCCGGATCAACGATCATGTCTACGTGTTAATATACCCACACACAGGATCAATTCTTTTAGTGTTATCCAGCCAAAAACTTTCACTTTTGGTGCCACAGTAGATGTCCATAAATTTCTCCAAACCTCCTTATCTCCTGCCCGTCCTATGTCATCATCATTGGCATACATTTCATCTGTTCTTTAGTTTTTTATAGGCTTAGCTAGAAGAGGTCAATAAATTCTCAGGCTCTGATTAGACGATGTTGCATAAGCCGGTTGGCGAGTTGCTGTGTTCTTTAGTTTTTCTGTCTGCAAACGCTTGCTGATTTGACGTGTTGTGCCAAAGGACGCAATCACACAAGGAAGTTGTGAAGATGAGCAAGTTTGTAGATTATAAGTACTAGACTAGATCTCGTCCTGAAACCTTAAGAGTTGATCTACACGGTTGCTCCTGGGCCCATGGCTGCAGGTAGGACTAGTTTCACAGCAACACGCTCGGCTGCTCAGGCCTTGCGCCTCCTCGTCTCCTTCCTCAACCAGTTCAATCGGACACGACCAAGAACACACCGACGATTCACTTCTGATGACCCACAAGTATAGGGGATCAATCGTAGTCCTTCTGATAAGTAAGAATGTCGAACCCAATGAGGAGCAGAAGGAAATGACAAGCGGTTTTTAGCAAGGCATTTTCTGCAAGCACTGAAATTGTCGGTAACAGATAGCTCAATAGCAAGATAATTTGTAACAAGCAAATAATAGTAACGGTAACAAAAGTGCAGCAAGGAAGCCCAATCTTTTTTGTAGCAAAGGACAGGCCGGAATGGTCTCTTATAATAAGCAAAGTGTTCTCGAGGACACACGGGAATTTCATCTAGTCACTTTCATCATGCTTGTTTGATTCACGTTCGCTACTTTGATAATATGATATGTGGGTGGACTGGTGCTTGGGTGCTGTTCTTACTTGAACAAACCTCCCACTTATGATTAACCCCTCTCGCAAGAATCTGCAACTACGAAAAAAGAATTAAGATAACATCTAACCATAGCATTAAACATATGGATCCAAATTAGCCCCTTTCGGAATAGCGCATAAACTAGGGTTTAAACTTCTATCACTTTAGCAACCCATCATCTAATAACTACTCCACAATGCATTCCTTTATGCCCAAGGATGGTGAAGTGTCATGTAGTCGACGTTCACATAACACCGCTGAGGGAATCACAACATACATATCATCCAAATATCGGACGAATATCAACTTCACATGATTACTTATGACAAGACTTCTCCCATGTCCTTAAGAACAAAAATAACTACTCACAAAACATATTCATGCTCAAGATCATAGGGATATTAAATTGTGTAATGGATCTGAACATATAATCTTCCACCAAATAAACCATCTAGCATCAACTACGAGATGTAAACAACACTACTAGTCACCCATAGGTACCAATCTAAGGTTTTGATACAAAGATTGAACACAAGAGATGAACTAGGGTTTTGAGATGAGATGGTGTTGTTGAAGATGTTATGAAGATTGGCCTTCCCATGATGAGAAGGTCGTTGGTGATGACGATGGCTTCGATTTCCCCCTCTCGGAGGGAAGTATCCCCGGCAGAATCGCTCCGTCGGAGAGCAAAAGTGCTCCTGCCCAATTTTCGCCTCGAGACGGCGTCACTCCGTCTCGAAAGTCCTCTCCTTATTTTTTCTAGGGCAAATGACCTTATATACCAGAAGATGGGAACCATAGGATGGTCAGGGGCCCACTATCCACC